TCACAATAATGATGGCGTTGGTCACATATAATCAAAGTTACGACAGATCAAGTCACAAACGATCACATTTAAAAAAAGACCAAGTCAAATACAACCACATTTAAGAAATATTTGATTACATACAATCAAAATTAAGATAAACATGATCATAAAAAAGTCACATTTGACATAAAAAAATGGTCATGAACTATTGTTGCAAGATAATTATAATTGTTGACCTCGTGAATTGGACCTTCCATGTGACCAATCGAGAACCACTCCACTGGTCCTTGCTGCGCACAAAAGCAAACGGTTAGATGCACATAGCCGATACCAGCGGGGGTGGCGACGACTGTATACACTCCGACGGTCAAGTCAGTGGATGGTGATAAGAGCGGTGCCGAAATAGTGCAAAAGAGTGAGGAAGAGAATATATAGTACTTGGTGGTGGAGTGTTTGGATTAGAAAAGATTCTCCCTGTCTCTTGCCAAACCTTTGGTATTTATAGGTGAAGGACACCGTGAGATGTGTGACATGTGTATGCATATGACGACGTGAGGCATTCGTTCATGGGCGTTAATCAGCCGCATCCTAAAGGGGCGGGTAATTAATTCTTCTGATATGTGAGTTGATATAAGGTCGAAATGTCACATCAATCAATCCATAAAGATAAGGGGGTCCTGACACAGAGTTACATCTCTCAGACTGGTGGTGGAGGGCACATCGGTGTCAAAGGACGCCTCGGACAATATCACTTAGGCAGTACTTGTGCCTCATAAACACGTCAAGGCGTATACCACTTCGGTGACGCCTCAGATTGACACGTGGCACCTCGCTAAAGTGTTGGGGTGTGGGACTGATTCGTCGAGGCAGTTAGTAAGTGGCGTAATCGCTGCCTCAGATTGATGTGTGGCACCTCGCTGGAGTGTGGGGCTGATTCACCAAGGTGGTTAGCGAGGTGTATCAGAACGAGGCCTCTTCCCTCTCCCCTACTCTATAGGTCGGTTAGCTGTGGGGGCTCCAGGGATTAGTGCTGAGGCCACTTCAGCAGGGGCGGCCTCGAGCAGGAGGACGAACCTCTCCTTTATCAGGACCCCAATGGGGATCGTCGTTTGGTGGGTGGGTGGCCTATCCACTGTTGGAGTCTTCGAAGATGGGCTAGTCGCCACTTTCTTCTCCTTCTTTAGTAGGGGCTCCTCCTCTTCTTCCTCCTTCTCGGCAAGAGGCAGCTTTTTGCTAGCTGCCAACAAGCCGTCCATTTACTTTTTGTAAGCCGAGGAGGAGGTCTTCAAGGCCTTGGCCTTAGCCATGAGAAGGTCTTCAAGGCCTTGACCTTAGCCATCATGCGTTTGATGGTGGTGAAGTCAGGCTTCTGCGGCCTCTTCTTGTTGAAGTCGTCTGCAACAAACTTCGAATATTGGCCAAGTATAAAGGACTCAGAATAAACATGACCAGTTCAGATAATCTACCTTGTGAAGACATCAGGCCTTGATTGACAAAGTGTATATTTTTTCTTATCAACTACTGATAAGACTGGCTCTTAGGTGGAAGCTGGTAGATTATACAGATGGTGTCGAAGTCCTCTGTGGACAGCTCACATCGGGGGAGAGTACCTGCGCAAACTAAAATACAAGTTACAACTAGGCTGAGGCAGTAAATAATGTACAGATAAGCCGAAGCGCCAATACTCACTAAGTATGCTGTACTTTATGGGGACCGTAAGAGGCGCCAGGGGGTTCCCCTCCATTGTATCCCATCTTTCTGAGGCCCAGCATTATGAGCTTTTTCAGTTCTTGATGGAGCTCGACAAGTCAATTACAAATGGAGTATGGGCCCCCAGGATGTTAGATAAAACCACCCCTTTATCTTATCACCCCAGCGGTCACCTTTGGGATATGGAGGGTCTGAAAAATCCAGAAGGACATCTCCACCCCATATAAGGCCTCTTTCCATAACATTCAAGACCCCACTATCTGACTCCAAGCGTTTGGGTTTAGTTGGGTAAGGGCTAACTTGTAAGAACTAAGGACAAACTGGAAGAAAGGGTTGATAGGCAATCTAAGACCCACCCTAAGAACAGCTTCAATTATCGCCACACACCCCAACCTTAGGTAACATGCTCGCTCGTTTGTCCTTGCCAGTATTAAACCCACGCTATTTGGGATCCTATATTCAGTTCTAAGTCTTGCCATGTCGACAGATTTTAATTTCGAAGGGTTATCAGACGTCCCCAATGCACAGAATTGCCTATAGGGCTATTTGGTTGTCTCCATATATTTTTCCTACTAATATCGCCTCAGATAGCTCGATCGAAGTAGGCAGCGTTGGCTCATCTAACCTAACGATCTCCAAATCTCCCCAGAAGACTCACCCCCTCTGAAGCCATTTTTTATGATGAAAAATACGAAAAACTTGGAAAATACTTACGAGGGTTAACTCAAAATGGGTTTTCTTGTCGAAAAAGTCGAATGGAGTCTACTATGAAAGTTATCGGAAAGCTTGGGAGACGCAGAATAATCTCTGGAACAAATGAGGATCGCAAAAAAAGGTCGAAAATCGCCAAATGAAAATAAAAGCACAGGACTCTGATTTTGCAAAAGTAAAAAACCTTCGAATGGCAAAGGGAGGGCCTTTTATAAGAAGCCTCAAAACAATCTCAACCATGGAATTCAAATGTTATAGATCTAGGCCGTCAATCGCATCCCCAATCTAGACCATTGAAACGAAACGTTAGATTTAATCAATGCCCAAGATCTAGCCATGACTCTTACGCGACCCCCCAACACGTCTCCTCGAGCTCCAACAGTCATTTGCCATAATTGGCAGTAGCAGCCTTTTTTGGGGTTATGCGTCGCATCCAACTGTCTTCCTTGGAAACATGCGACAGCTGTCCTATCATTCACGGCTTCGCAGTGCACACTTCAGTGAAGAACCTCCTCAACTTTACAAAGTTTCAACCCTCCCGAAGCGTCGTCCCCTGTAGGTCAGCTCCTCGATTGAGCATTGCTAAAAACTTTAAAAAGCATCAAGCCATCTCCCAAGCGTTGTCCCCTGTGAATCAGCGCCTTGGTTGAAGATGAGCTCCTCAACTTTACAAAGTTTCAACCCTCTCGATGCGTAGTTCCTTGTGGGTCAGCGCCTCGATCGAACATTGCAAAAGCTTTACAAAGCTTCAAGCAATCTCCCAAGCGTCGTCTCCTGTGGCTCCTCGTCTCGATCGAAGATGTGCTCCTCAGCTTCATAGAGCTTCAATCCTCCCGATGTATAGTCCTATGTGGGTCAGAGCCTTGGTCGAGCATTGCGAAGCTTCAACCCTTAGAGTAGCAACCATGCACAACCAATCAAAAAGTCTGCAGATGATAAAATATTCATCCCCGAACTTGGGGGACCATTGTTATGCCTCGCTAACCACCTCGACGAAGCAGTCCCACACTCCATCGAGGTGCCATACGTCAATCTGAGGCTGCACTGAAGTGTTTACGCCTCTTACTAACCACCTGGACAAATCAGTCCCACACCCCAACACACCAGCGAGGTACCACACGTCAATCTGAGGCGTCACCGAAGTGCCATACGCCTCGAAATGTTTGTGAGGCACAATTATTACCTAAGTGATATTGTCCGAGGCATCCTCTGACATCGAAGTGCCCTTCGCTGCCAGTCTCAGAGATGTATCTCTGTATCAAGATCCCCTTATCTTTATGGATTGATTGATGTGATATTTCGACCTTATGTTAACTCACATATCAGAAGAATTAATTACCCGTCCCTCTAGGATGCGGCTGATTAACGCCAACGAACAAACGCCTTAGACCATCAGATGCTTACACGTGTCACACATCTCACGGTGCCCTTCACCTATAAATACCAAAGGTTTGGCAAGAGATAGGGAGAATCTTTTATAATCCAAGCACTCCACTACCAAGTACTATATATTCTTCTCCCCACTCTCTTGCACCATTCCGGCACCGCCCTTATCACCGTCTACTAACTTGACCATCGAAGTATACGCGGGCACCGCCACCCCCGCTGGTATCAACGGTGTGCATTTGACCTTTTGCTTTTGTGCACAGGGAGGAACACGTGGAGTGACTCTCGGTTGGCCACGTGGAAGGTTCAATTTGCGAGGTCAACAATAATTACAATGACAATTTTAGATAAGCGAGTCACATACAATTATGATTGAATAATGCAGAAAATAAACACTTGAACATATGTCAGTTATGTTGGAAATGCAGTAAAAAGGGGCCAAAATTTTTTTAGGAAAATATCTCCTTTGTGAGTGTAAATATCATATTTATTTACTACTCATCCCACTCACCCTAGAAGCATCAATTACGTTCAATCAAGTTCTCTTCTATTAAGATTTTCCTCGAAAATACCCCGCCTAGCCCAACCCATCCCAGAAGCCCAAATTTCAGTTCTATTCCATTAAGCTTAAGCTACCCTCTTTTCATGTTTCCCCCAAAAATCACCGCATCTCCAATTTACCCCACCCCACAAGCCCAGATTCCATTTCAATTTCCCCTCCAATATGTTGTCTTCTTTTGGCATTTCCCCAGTGAATCATGCATATTACGCAAGCTTCAGTGATAATTGAAAATTAAATAGGTGGTGCGATCTCTGTGTGTGGTGCATTGTTGTTGTATGTTCGACAGTGTGTGGTACTATGCAGTGGTGGTGGTGATGCGATGGATGTTTTCGATGAAAATTAACTGCACATGGAGGCCAAAGTCGTCAGTGATGAAAGGGCAGTGTAAGACGAGCAACTCCACTAGCTCTTCATTAAAATATTTTATGAGATTGTTAATTGTGAAATGTGATTCTTATAATGTAGTAATTATGTATTATTTCCTATTTTCTATCAAGTACCAATACGAAGCCCATTGTATTAAGTATTAAAATTTTGCGGAAGTAGGGGGAACAAGTATAGAGGGAGGTACTTGGTAGGAATCCCAGTTGGGCCGCGCTTAATATACAAGTAGGAAGGGCAAAGCAGCCCAATATTGGATTAAGCCGAAGAAGAGTGCACTTGCAAAAACATCTGATTCCCATCATCGGATCAATAAAAACACACTATACTCCCAAGCTACTAATTGCACTCTCATCTTATCCCCGCGAAATCAACTGCGTAAAAACGATGTCGTATGTACCTCCTCACCTGAGAAATCCAACCAACACCACTGCAGTGCTAGTAAACGGCACCGGCGATTACTGCGACACGAAGCAGCTGAATAACTCTTCCGGTAGAGTCAATTCTACGCTCGGGAATGACATTAATGGTCACTCGTGGAATCCGGGCAATCGGACATCCGGTAGTTACATTTCACCTCGGATTGTTGTTGTCCCCGACCCGGTTTTTCCTCAATGGATGCCCTCCGAACGTGTTATCTGCCTTAAACCAGAGCAGGTTCGGTTGTTGTTATCTCATGTTTTCTTAGATAGTAATTTCTGGAGTTTGAGGCAAACTACAAACGCGAACGCTCCGAATTATTCTTCTTAAGGATGATTTTATATGATTTTATTTTTCATTAATTTTTTGACGTTGATTCTCAGTTTGTTTTGATGACTACTAGTAGTATTCTTGTTCTTTCAGTGGCTTTTATCTATTGATTTTGAGTTCTATGAATTATGCTTGAATTAATTTAACAACTAATTTGAAATTGGAAAAGTGGACATTTGAAATATTTTCAAGTTCCCATATAAAATAAAATAAAAAAAGCGATGATATAGTGATGCACTCTGTTACTGTTGAATAGCCTTTGTTATTGATTGTACTCTTTGACCTCTGGCATAGCCTGGAAGAACAGTGGCGAGGAATTATCTGGTGCCATTCTGGCATAGATTAAATTTAGTAAATCTCATGAAGATATCACGAGGTTTGAGGTTGACTGATATGTCCTAAAGGCGTGTCTCAATTTCTCAATGGATTCATGAATCGGAAAAACATATAGATATGCATTGTTTGACTTGCTTCCATATTGTATTCCCTAAGTACCTCTGGCGGCTTCTTTGAGCTCTCACCTGTGTTTGGCCTCCATTTTCTAAAACTCATTTTTCCTCAAAATCATTTTCAGTCATACATTTCATGTGGCCCACAACTTTTATTAACTTTTCAACTACACATTTCATTAACTTTAATCAAAATCTACTAAACATCTAATTTTTAGCTAAATAAAAATGGGCTTTTGTTTTTACCCTTCCTGCCATTATATTGTCTACGTAAGACACATTATTCTCTTCCAGTTATTTTGAGAATGCTTTGTTCCCCAAGTGCTGGTAAGTGGTGGTTTTGATATTTTTTAGCCCGGACATGATGACCTTATAACAGTAGATTTTTGGTTATGGATGAGGTCTTACACTAACATTTTGATTTGGTGATACCTAAAAAATGTATAGAAATCAGAATCTTGTGCCCCGAGGTTGAGTCAACCAATATGTCAACTAGGAAATGAATAACTGTAATGCTTAAACCTGTGTAGTTCACATAAACTCCATTTTCCTCTAAGTTCTTGACCAACACCATGTTTGTTACCGTTCTGGGTAAAAGACCTCATATGAATCTGGCTCGACATAGCTTGTGGCTTCTTCTCTAATGACCTTTTTCAATTAATGGTATACCTATAAATCTGATTTTCTTTACTCAGACCATATCCTTGTGGATCTGGGCATTGTGAGATCTCTTAATCACGACGACAAACCTAATTGTTTCATTTGAGACATAGTTTCAGGGATCAATCTGCTAGCTTAAGGAGCAACTCAAGTAGTGCTCCGTGTTACTGGCATGCCCAATGTCTTCTACTTTCAAGTCTACTTTACTAAATTAGACAAGATGGTTTGTCACTGCCTTTCTAGAGTGATTGTCTTTTGTTTTATTTCACTGGTCGGTTTCTTTCTAATATTGAACTTATTTATTACATGTGTATGTAACCTAACATGTCTGCTTTGTGCTTCAAGCTCACTAGTTATAATTTCCTTTCTTTAGAACCTCCCAATCATAATCCCTATGCCTTTAGTCGATCTTGTTCTCTCAAGATCTTCTGTTGGTGATAGTTCCACCCTAATATGCCTTTAGACACGATGATTAGAAGTCTTACATTTTTAACGCTGGTGACCTACTCTTTAACTTGACTGCCCTTGAACTCTCCCGCTCTCTCTCAGTAGGGAATTTTACCATCAATGGTAAGTCAATACCATAAACCCGATCGTGATGAGAAAAGGCCTCTCAAGAATGTCATTGTAATCCATTGATATACTGCTTAGAAATTTCCATTATGGTAACAATCATCGACGTTGTCACAAGTATGAGGGGGTGGTTTGTTTATTCCTTTTGAGCTAATTAAATCTCCAGGGATCCTTATAAGGGTGTTTTGATATATTGTAGTCTTTGGGATGCCCATCTTCTTGAAGGCATCTACGGTTAATATATCCATGGAATTTGTAGTCTATCAAGATTGGTTAATGTTATCATGTGTGTCAAATATATTCGATGATACTCAATAAGACTCGATATCTCTCAGTGAGAGGTTCTCTCATTATATAGAACCAAAATCACTATTAAATGTGATAGCTATCAATTACAATTATAATCTATTAAATATGGTAGGTTTCTTTATATTCAAGCTTTTCTTATAGTCCATTGACATTCCCTCAAAATTGACGTTGGCAAAAGCATCAATTTGCAGTCATGAACTAATGGCAGTGACAGTACTTGTGCCCATGAAAAAGTGACCCAAATCTCATTAATCATCTACTAAAAATAGTGACAACGAGAGGTCAAGAACAACAAATAGTGCAGAGATAGTCAAGAAGCACTCCTAGAATACTTCAAGGTCACTCCAGAGAACTCACATCTTAAGAAAAATTTCTAAAAGAAATTCACGAAATGTGCCGACCACACAATTAGCTCTATTAGCGGAAAGAACTCAACAAACTCATAATTCGTGTTTTCGACAAAAATTCTAACAACCAAAACACCGGCAAAAAATCTAGCAATATATGGGTTGTCAAGATGCTGCAATTGAAAGAAATATCACAGAAGAGTCCACCAAAAACTCAAAGATGATCCTCCTTTGAGAATCCAAAATCTAGCTCATCACCGAAATGACCAAAACTCGACGGTTTGCACTCCCATGTCTCTCTCTTCTCCTTAACCAAAAATAAAAATCCTTTTTTTTTTTGTTAGTAGCGTCTTTGCAAAAATTATGTACTGCAGATCAGAGAATTTTCAGCGCAGTTGGGAACCAGCAGACATTAGCTCCTTCATGCTTCCACGGCTTACAGTCCAATTATTTAACCCCAAATCATAGCAGGCCCCATGAAACTATTAAGCCCGACAATTTATAATATCTAAACCCACTAAGGTTAAAACCAGTAGACACAATCCACATTTTAAATTCACTACTACCCCAACAGAATTAAACCCAAGCCAAACACATAACCCACCCACTAACTCATCTTCTCCTTCCACGTTACAGTCTGCCGTGTTAACTGAACTAGTATGCCCAGCCAAGGTAGATCTCAGCTTAGAGTTAGACAAACTCTAGATTTTCACATTCTTATCCTAAAACCCAATAACTATAGTCAGTTGAAGCATGTTAGGCAAAAACCGTACACAAGAAACCTAATCAGAATGGGCATCACCGTCTTGAATAGTGTACTTGCTTTCATCCAAAGTATTCCAAAGCTTAATAGACTTGTCATGCAATGCAGAAACAATCTGCCTATTATCAATGAAAAAGGCAACCGACAGCACATCCTTAGTGTGGCCAACTAATTGGCGGGTTATAGCACCAGTCTGAAGGTCCCAGAGGCGGAGTTCGCCCTCCCAGCTCCTAGAAAGCGCGAACAAACCATTGGAGAAAAAGACAACGTCCTAGACGAAGTGGTAGTGGGCCAGTAAGGCGGCGGCAGGCGACGCTGTAGGTCCTGTCTTCCCTAGTGATATTCCACAAAATAAATAACTTGTCACAAGAAGAGGTGACTGTCATATCGGAGTTGTCTACCGGCATTGGAATTGCGGTCATCCAATCCGTATGGGCCCTCATTATGCCTCTCAACACTAGCTGCTCCAGAGCCCTCATTGGCTGAACAAAGGGAGAAATCACTCGAGGATGAATTGAGTTCTAATCCATATAATGTTCAAGCACTTAAGAATTTAATGGAAATTAAAATAAAGAGAAAGAAAACTGGACTGGAGGAACTTTTGCTGCTCCCGCTATGAGAAAACCCAACAAAGAGAACGAGAAAAAAATTCTAAGAAAGAGGTTCTAATGCTATATCAAATATGCTAATGATACTCATGCCTTTCAATGTTGAGGTTCTCTCATTATATAGAGAAAAAATCATAACTAAATATGATAGCTATCAATTACAATATTCATTAATGAAAACCTATTAAATATTGTAGCTTTTCTTATATTCGAGCTTTCATTATATTTCGCTGACTGTGGCCTGCTGATTCCTGGCCGCCACCATTTTAAAGGCAATCACTTAATCTCGGTCACTGTGTTCGCACGGATTACCAATTGTGACATTGTTATTGGTTGACTAGGAAAATAGTATGTTGCTTAGAAGTTTATCTTGGTAGTATTGTTTAAGGTCAGTATGCATTGCACCTAAATGCATGTTCTTAGGTATATTATTTTTTAATTCATAAAGCTTGGATTCATCATGTTGCTATTTATTTGCACGTACAGATTCAGGAGGTCCGCTTAAGGCTTAATGTTGATGTTACTGTTTCTCCAGACTCACTTCCTGCACCTGCTCCTATTGAATCATTTGTTGATATGGTAAGAATCACGAGGACAATTTTCTTGATTTCTTTTGATGTTCTTTAATTTTTGTCAAAACTAATTCAAAGTGTGTTGTTCAATTTTTTCTGCAGAATTTGTGCACGAGCATCATGAAGGATATTGCATTTCATGGATATACCACTCCTACTTCCATTCAGGCCCAAGCCATGCCAGTGGCTCTAAGTGGATGGGATTTGTTAGGTTGTGCAGAAACTGGTAGTGGCAAAACTGCTGCATTCACCATACCCATGATACAGGTTTCAGTTTTTACTTCTGCTTTTGATTTGTATTTAGATATGTAACCATATCGTGGATATTCACTTTGTTTTCTTGTTCTATTATAACTTATCTTATGGTTTTTCATCCTCGTAGCATTGCCTGGCTCAGCCTCCTGTTCGGCGTGGAGATGGACCTCTAGCATTAGTATTGGCTCCTACGAGAGAGCTAGCACAACAAATAGAGAAAGAGGTGAGATAGCTGATTTCATGTAAAGTACACTTGAAAATGTCATTGATATATTATATACTCCTATGCTTTGTTTGGAAATGTGGCAGTTGAAAGACTAATGCTTCAATAACAAATTGGAAGGAAATGATGTGATAATTTCTGATAATACTTGTGGAGGCTAGATTTCATGCCCTGACATTCAATATAGATTATTAACTAGAGAATCTTTTTTAAGTCAAGAATTTCCAAACATGATTGATAAGACTATAAGAAAGATTCTGTAGCTTTTTCTGATATTTCTTAAAGATGTATATAGAGTTTATCTTTGATCAGAAGTGTTCTACATTCATGTTTTTCCTTGTTAGGTTAAGGCCTTCAGTAGATCTTTGGATTCCTTCAGAACTGCAATTGTTGTTGGTGGAACGAACATTTCTGAGCAGGTGACTGGTTTAGCTCAAATTAATTCATAGAATTTGATAACTTTGCTTCTTTTTGATATTCGGAGTTCACGGTTTGCAGCACAGCTCGATACTTGTTAAGTTGTGATTTACCATTGCATTTCATTTCTTGTTTTGCTTTGCAATTCAACCCTGCGATCATGCCTAGTATTCATCTTTGTTCTGATGACCTTCTGTTACTGGATGCCAAGATAGAGGTCTGAGCTGCGAGCAGGGGTCAATATAGTGGTTGCTACTCCTGGAAGATTTATTGATCATCTACAACAAGGAAATTCTTCTCTCTCCAGGATTTCATTTGTTGTTTTGGATGAAGCTGATAGGATGCTTGACATGGGATTTGAACTTCAGATAAGAGAGGTAATTCATGTCCACATATTTGTTCTATAGGATAATCATATGCACATAAGTATTTTCCTTATTTATCTGTTGTATTTCAACTTATATCCTTCTCTGCCTCCCTCTCACAGTGATTTTCACTTTACTGTATCTTATATCTATCAATTTCGTACATAATTAAATTGCTTTGAAATCTTGACCTTTGATTTTCTATGCTACTGATTTTTTCTTTTCTTTTCCTTCTTTTGATCTTAACTCATTCTATGCTAGACCATTTAAAACCACTCGATACAAGCACACAGTTTCATGATCAGAATCCACCACTAAAATGATCTGAAGTGATATTTTCTTACAAGTTAGATAAGCCGGTTTTTCTCAACCTTTCTATCAGTATGTATTTAGTTTTCATTGGCTTTAGCTTGCTTAATTAAAGTGCATAGAGGGCATCTTACAAATTTATTCACTTTGGTCGCTTAGCATCCTCGTCATTCTGCAACTACGCATGTCCAATAATTCCATGGAAAATATTATTTTGATGCTTTCTGATTCTGTTGCAGGTGATGCGAAATCTTCCAGAAAAACATCAAACTCTACTGTTTAGTGCTACCATGCCTGTGGAGATTGAAGAGCTAGCACAGGTTTGATCTTTATTTTGATTACAGTACTTGTTCCTTCCAAATCCATGTCAATGCCAAAATATTTGACTTTTTGAGTCTCTGCATTAAACAGAGACACAATTATAAGTTTATGAAGTATTAAGTTGGAAACTCTTTGTTTTGATTAAGACAACTTGATCATGTTTATATTATCCAATGTATAAGTAAATTTGTTTTACATGTTTGATAAGCACAACGCAATACTTTCTTTTCTTCCATATGAGAAGAAAATTACTTACTTTGGCACTAAGGGAGTGTCACAAAGATAATGTTGCTCTGTTACTTCCATCTAAGGTATGTGGATTGGTTCTATTTTGTGGACATATCGTGTTAGTTTCCTACATTTTCTTTTATATGTATCACTTTTTGGGAAAAACCATGCATTATGCATTTTCTGTGTGCTGTTTTAGTGATTGTTTAGATATTGTAACTCATGCGGACATATATCTATACTTAAAGACAGTGACCCAGTTAAAATCATTCCTTTGAAAACTCGTGTCATGGAAATGCCATTATTTTCCCCCAAATTTTTAGGAATACTTGACAAATCCAGTTCGAGTAAAGGTGGGAAAAGTCAGTAGCCCAACTGCGAATGTATCCCAAATATTGGAGAAGTTACCAGAAACTGAGAAGGTATGCTGCACTTAATATTTAAATATGAAAATAGTGTGCTTATGCAGTGATCAACTGGAACATAATCTTTTGCTTTTTAACTTTGATTGCCATTTTCTATATTTCCTTTCATTTTTCTTTTGATTGAATGCAATATATAGCTTTTATCTTTTCAACTTTGTGTTGTTGAGATACTGATTTACGTTATACAAATATGGTGATTTAGGGCAGATAAGCAGTTAGACTCCTATGGTTTAGAAATTGAGGATCTGATGTTATCACTGGATCAGAAGATATGAGGGCCAATAGAGTTCAATATGTGGCTAAAATACTCAGGAATCTACTTGTAAAAGTAATAGTAATGGGAAAGTATTGAATTCTTTAAATTGAAATGAAGGCCCACCAATTTGCCTATATATTGGATTCATAAAGCAGATATGTTATGAATACATTCTTTTGTTGAGACTAATGGTTGGCCTGTGTAATAATGGGGAAAATTTTATATTTTAAGCCTGTATGTTTGATCCAAGCATACCATGTGGGATTAAGGAGGTAATGAAACCAATCATCGTAAACAATTTGTCTAGTGAATAATATATTTGTTAATAAAATTAAATTAAGGAGGTAACGACCCTTTGTTGCATCACCGTATTTGTTAAAAAAATAATAATAATAATAAAATTTTACTCTTCTTGTTGAATGAAGAAATAATTTTTTATTCATTATATCGCCAGTTTTGAGATTGGATCTATTTAATTGTAAACTATCTATACTATGAGATAATCATTGCATATGGATAAAGCATATAGTTAACTCGTGTGCCAGTCTAGATGTTCCTCAGTAATGTCTGGGATTTAACATGGTGACAACTGTTTATGAATTGAAGATTGACAGGCTTCTAAATATGCTTGTTGGAGAGGCTGCCCAATCTGAAAGAAGCGGCTACGACTTTCCCTTGACAATTGTATTCGTAGAACGAAAGGTACAAGTGATCCATGTGTACTTTCTAATGTACATACATGGTGGGAAAATTGTGTGCAAACTTGCAAAGCATGAACCATAAATGACTATATGTTGAAGGTTTATTCAACAGGTTAAAGCTTCAAATAAACCTCTCATGATTGGAAGGAAGCAATGTTATTAGATGTGTCGATATGTTTTGGCTTTTGCTGTTTTTTTCCCTTAAATCAGGACATTGCCATATGCAGAAAACAATTGGAGCTGACAGAATTAGTAATATTGTCCGTGAATTTTCCACAACTAAATTTGGTGTTGATATTGCCTTTATGTTTTGAAGTAGACTAGACTAGACCTTTTGCCTGCTTCTGAGTGATTTGTTTCCCTGTTCTTGTTCCACCAAAATTTAGGTTCATGGTACTGATATGAACTCTTGCTCATGGATATCAAGTGCTGACATATTGCTTACTCTTAGATTTGAACGCTCCAATATCCTCTCTCCCTCCCTCCATGTATGGACATGTCGATGTCTGAAACACAAAAGCACACTTGCATTTTTGAACCAGATAGCGTGAATCTCATATCTTGTCAAATACTGCATGTGACATCGTATTTTTTCGCCGTTAATTTTTTGAGCTCGGAATATTTCTGACAAGAATGTTGAAGTACCTATCGGTTTCTTCTTTTGATATTATTTCGCCTTTACATATCATTCAGACAATTGCGTATTTCTCTGTGATGTAATAAAAACTTTAAAGTTCCTAGTTAGCTGATTGTTGTCGTCTTATTGCTCTGATTTCTCTTTTTGCCTATCTAATGTCGATTATAATGTTATTAGACAAAAATAAATAATAAAATTTTATCAGATATGTGATATTACAATGGTATTATGCTTTGTTGTGAATCTATTTTTGATACCCTGATTCACCACAAATTTCGCATATGTAATATTATTTTGATGCACTGTGGATTTCGTAGTACTGCATTATGTAAGTTTGCACATTCATATGATCCTTCAGACTAGATGTGATGAGGTAGCAGAAGCACTGATAGAGCAAGGTTTGCAAGCAGCTGCGCTTCATGGTGGTCGTAGCCAAAGTGAGAGAGAGGCTGCCCTCCATAATTTTAGGCATGGTCCAACCAGGATACTCGTATGACTGCATTCCCACTTCTTTTTTCTTCCATTGGTTAGTTTACTGATAAGTGATTTGTGTTATATATCATTTCACATCTTGTTATGTTGTTTTGTCATTTGTCCTTAGGGAGGTAAACTAAGCTCTATATGAGAAGCGGAGCGGCTATTTTTTATTTCTTTCTCTTTTGCTTTTGTTCTTCCGTGTTACTCATGAGCACAGGCGGGTGGGTTCATCATGGTACTTCCGAAAATGAGATGACAGTTCTTCATATTATTCTGAAAGTCCCTTGGCTTCAAGCTATTTTTAAACCTTTTAATTATTATGGTAAATCATTTTCTTTGATTTTCAAATGTGACAATTTGAAAGTGGGCCTCTTATGGCTTGTTGAACTAGTGCGTGCTTGCTAGTGATTTATACTATTCCTTGCGATGCATGTGATTTAGCCCCTATTTGACTACGATTATTTGGGAGAGACAATGTTTTGAATAATGATTTTTGGGAGAACGTGTGGTTAAAAGGTAGAAAAATATTCTGAGTTTACGTGCAAAATATTTTATTGTGTGATTGTGATTGAAAATGAATATGTAGAAAAGAAGAGTTTTGAAATAATGGTTGTCAAGCAAGGGTTTATTTATTTGTTTACTTATTTTTGGCCTTTTATCTTCTCCTTAACTTTCTTCTATTCGATTTGAGGCATTTTTCAGTATCTGTACATCTCTGTGCATTTTTTGGTTTTGATTTGCAGGTTGCCACTGATGTTGCATCTCGTGGATTAGATGTCACTGGTGTTGCTCATGTTATTAACCTAGATCTTCCAAAGGTACTTCTGGCTGCAATTCGAAGTTTCTCGCTCACTGACTAGCTCCAATTTCTTGTAAATTCAGTATTAATAACACAAAGGTTGTCTAACGGAGACTACGCAATAATAAGATCTTGCCTTGGGCGAGTCACGTTTTGCACATTTACTGCTGGATTAGCTTGTTGATTGCCATTTTAGCAATTTTTCCTATTGTTTAATCTTGAAAAATGTGATCTTGGCATTACCGATTTTTGGCATTCAACCTTTTGAATGTTTACCGTAACTTATTTCAAGAGATCTGTTCTGTATACCAAGTTCTCCTGTTTTACATGCTGAATTTATCAAGACTATGATTGAAGTAGCACAATATTGATAATTCTGTTATGCATCAAAACTAGACCATGGAAGATTATGTACACCGAATTGGAAGGACTGGACGTGCAGGATCAACAGGTCAAGCTACATCATTTTATACTGATCGTGATATGGTAACCCAAGTTTTATCTTGCTTCAATATATATTTGTACACATGGATTTTCCTCCTCTCACTAATGCAGTGCTGTCCTGTAGTATTTGGTAGCACAGATAAAGAAAGCAATAGTGGATGTTGACTGTGGTAATACCTTGACAATTGCAACTGGAAAGGTATGGCTTCCACTATTTTCATGTACAAAATCTGTTTTGTCTCTCTATAGAACCTGTTCTCCCCTAGCCACCCTCTTCCCCCACCCTTCAGTCGGACCACCAAAAACCGACTGGAAATTCTGCTTTGATTTTAACAATTTTCTGTGCTCATTTTAGACTGCTCGAAGGAAGGAGAGGGAAGCTTTAGCTGCTCAGAAGGAAGCAAGGATTGCAATGTCCAAGGTCTCAGTGATGGGACCTACTGCGATGAATGTGGAGGACAAGTATAGGCACATGATTACTTCTTCAATAATCAGAAAAGAGGGTTCAGCAGACGATGCTTGGGATGACTGATTCAATTTCCATTTACCTCTCTTACTGCTTCTGGTTCAGTTTTGATGGTTACACAGACTCCAAGAAATTAACGTCCATAAGAAGGTGCAATTTGTGCATTTGGGACAGGTGCCAAAGGAAACATCAACACGTTCATTATTAAACCATCTCTTGTATTTTGTCCATAAAAATGAAGTGTAAAACGTGCTGCAAGCAGGTTTCCTCTTGTACCATCTAATTTCACTTCTAGTTTTAACACCAGTCAGTTGTAGCAATGACTACAGTAGAGATTTTTTGACAGTAGATTCTGGACAATGTGTGGTTAAACACTAGAGAAAAATTTTGATTTACGCACAAAATTATTTTATTAAGAAATTGTGCAGATGAAAATGAGTTCCTGAAAAAAAAAAATTTAGAAAATGAGGGGCAAGCAAGAGCTTAATTTGAAGGTTATCATTATGAAGTGCTGGCTATTTGTAAAAACTCGTCATTGGGACGGTCATCTGATCAAAAAGGCTGGAAATTATCGAACTAAAACAATGATGCTCTTGTTCGACATCAGATTCTTTTCAATGCTCTTGTTTGATATCAGATTCTTTTCAATGCAAATGGAGGTTTATGTTAACTCTTACTTGGAATTTTCAGATTCCATTTTGTACATAAAAGAATATATGCATATTTAGTAAATGAAGATAGGAATACAAAATTTCATTCCCCTAAATGACATTTAACTACCGAGGCTGAGGATGAATAGACAGTCAAAATGCAATTTCTTCTAAAGAAGACAAACGCGCAAAAACTCAGCAAATGAACAAATTGAGTAGACGAGAGTAACCATATCATGAATGGACAGGCACCTGTATTACAATTGTTCACTTACAGAGAGCTCAAAAACTGTTAAGAATAGAAGATGGGATTGTACACAAGCCATAGAACTCGCGGAGTTTAACCAAAAATAAAAAATAATAATAAAAGAAAGAAAAGAGAGACTCACAAGCGCGAATGCATGGAAACCAAAGAAACGCGACGGTCTTTAGCTATTAGCAACTTAGGATGCCATCACGGGTAATCGCTGGTGCCTTGTAACAGCCTTGCGAAGTTCATGATAACCACTCTGGTAATGCTCAAGTGAGAAGCAAAGCTGCCTTATTGCTTCTCGTTTCTCTTCCGCTCCTTCCATGATAATTTCTTGCCTTTTCTCCACCTCCATTTCCAATTCTTTAACTCGTGATCGAAGATCCTCTGCCATTTCGCGTGCACCAATCAAATCAACGTTGATCTTATCCACTTGATCTTCTTTAGAACTCATCTCTGCAGAAAGTGCATCGATCTTAGCATTAAGATCATCTTTTTCCGCCATCAGCATGCCGTATTTCAGTTTCAGCACATCGAAGCTTTTCTTTAATTCTTCTCTGTGATCATTTCTCTCAGTTATCTCTGCCTTCAACTCCTCAACTTGAGATCCAAGCATATTTTCCATCTCTTCTTTTCCAGCCTTGACTCGCCTAAAGTCCTCCTCTAAGTTTTGGCAGCGTAAATCCAATTCTTTTAGATTATCCTCTAAATAAGTTCGCTCCTTCACGGTTCTAGTGATTTCTGTTAAAAGTTGCTCATTTTCGTCTGATAAGCTCTTATTAGCGTTGTTTATTGCTTCTTTCAATCCTCTGATTTCTTGATCACGGTCAGCAAGATTGGATTTATACCTCAAAATCCTGTCCTGCAGCTTAGAAGCCTCTCTTTTCTCTCTCTCGACTTTGGTTTTCCATACAGAAACCTCCTTCTGCGCTGACTTGAGCTGATCTTGCAAATTTTGAATGCTGGAGTCCTTTTTCGTACGTTCCTGCCTTGCACTGGCAACTTCCTTTTCCAATTCACAAAGCTTAGCTCGTGTAATTCTCAATTCATCCTCGAGCTTCTGTATTTTGTTCACTGTGTCTGAATCTTCCAGCTCTGATCCGTCTCCATTTTTCTGAAGCTCTCTCGTCTGATATCTTTCAATTTCAATATCGGGATTCAAAACTTCAGCATCTTTCTGCTTCATATCACTTGAATCTTCTAGAGATTTATACTTTTGAATCTCAATTGTCAGAAGATTAATTTCTTCTTGAGATAGTCGTATCTTTTCCTTTGCAGCACTCAATTCTTCTTCACATGCTACTAATTTAGCAAGAACTTGAGAATTTTCATCATCTTTCTTAACAGAGAATTTGGAAATCTGTTTCTGCTGCATCCGGAGTCTCTCTTTCATCTCACGGTGCTCAGCTTCTAACTCAATAATCCTTCGGCGCAACCCCTGATCCTCATCAGTGCTTTGTGTACCTGAATAATTATTAACGGATGAATCATCTGATTCTGATTCAGAATCCAACGATGATGATTCCTCCCCTTTAGTGCATAAATCCGAACTACTTCCACCAGTGCCGAGAAAGAATTCAAATCCAGCAGCACGTGGCCCAGATTTACGTTGAATTGGCCTTTGATCAGGAGACAGCACAGTTGAAGGTGGTTCGGACCCAACATCAGATATGCCAGAGCCCTGAGATTGAAGATCTGAAGGAATATTTTTTCGAAGTTCACCAGTCACATGATCATAACGCTCGGCCAATGACCAATGCACACGATAAAACTCTTCAACAAGATTGATCAACTCCGGCCTCTTCTTGTAATACATTTCGGCCTTTTTGGCAAATGAATCTGCGTCCTCTTCTATGAGTTTCAACATCCTTTTGACACTATGGTCCATTTCTGGGATCACCGACATTATTGTGATTTTATGCTCAATAACATAATTCAAGTTAAGACAATAAACGATGATTTCATGATTGAAATTGATAACCTAGTTTCTATAAAGATTTAATGAAGGAAGATTAAAAGTATAGACTTCTATCATCCACAATCTTTTAGCACATTATCAACAATTTTTCTTATTTCATAACAATGATAATCTAGTTCCTATTTTTCAATAAACTTGGAATCCGCTACATAAATTTTGGACTTGTTAAATTATTTTACCCTTGAGAAACCATTATACAAAAAAAGCTAATGAGTTCAAATCAAAATCATACCTTCAAGATTTTCTTGTAGCCACTTGGAGTTTTTGGGACTGATGTGGCTATCCCACCGCCAGGAATGTGATTTTTTCGATTCCAACCGCTTCATCTTGTTTGAGTTAACCTAGACAGAAAAGGGACAAAGAACACACAACGATGATAACAATATACCACTAGAAAATGTGATTGAAAAAATATTATTAATATAAGAAATTACAAGGGCACTTATGTTCTTACCTGGGCTGACGCCATTTGGCAAATGAGGCAGAATTCGATAGTTTGAGAAAAGAAAGTGAGTTGAATATCTGCAAGCGATGTCTGTGATAAGTACCTACAAGTTCAAGTTGTAAAGTCATCTATATACATACACAACATACTTGATGATATACACATTGATGATATACACATTTAAGCCGAAATTATGTAAATATTGATTGAATATCCATAACTATTATAAGAACTAGGAAGTATTTCTTTGACGATTAAAATTTAATAAATAAATATGTATGCAAATGTTTCCTACTTCAAAAGTAAAAGTTTTAGACGAGGTAGTTCAATGTAGTATCAAAGATCCAATTACAATCTTACAATTTTCAAACACTAAACTAACCAAAAATATATTTAAATTAAATAATCATAAAACAGAAAGCAGTTTCATTTACTCCATTCATGGCAAAATGGGCCAGCAAACTTACAAATGGACCACACCAATAAGCCTAGTAAAGAAATGAGTTGTCTATAGATATGGAGCCCCGATAACGAGGCCTAGATTATTCTGGACCTACAAATAATACAAGGGAAAAAAATAAAAATAAAATATAGGACACGTGTGAAGCACATGGCAAGTACACAAAACACGAAACCGAAAACAAGTGGAAAGTGCATGCCACTCGCCAACAACGCGTGTTTGCTTAATTATATGTGTCTGTGTGTGTATTTACACAATAATTTTACCAATCCAACAGATTTTTTTTGATAGAGGAAGTCATCGCTCTCAAGATGGTGGGGTCCACTTTTTTGGACTTTTGTATTCACGCGAGACCCACAACATTCGAGGGAGGATGTCAAAACACCAAAATTCGGGCAAAACAGCAGCATTCTAATTTTATATAGAGAGAAAATTGTGACGACAGGCCTCAGAATGGGATATCCAGCTATATCCAGCAGTCTTCACATCATATTATTTTTAAAATAATAAATAAATTATAGCAAAAAAGGGGTAAATAGAACCAAATTCATAATTCATTCAAATGAAATTAATTAAAGTTTCATGGAATTACTTGGAGAAGTTTAACTTTTAAGAAAAAGATTTGTTTCAGTGAAAATGAAATGTCAATTGCCACCCCACCCCACAAACACAACAGAATTCATTAGATGATGGATGGTTAAGGTCAGATGTCACCCAGAAAAGGACATTAATCTAATCTATTCTACAAAAAGTAAAAAAATTGAATTGACGAATTAATTCAATCCAGAGAGCTGAGTTCATACCTCAGATCAGAAGAAACGGATTGAATTCCATCGTACTAAAGCAGCTTCTGGGCTCTGATAACGAACATGGAATTTCGATCGATCGATCAATTTTCACCCCGACGAAGAGAAAAGAAAAGACAAAAAAAATCCCCAAATACAACCACAGATTTCAGTTACAGAAAGTTCAAATAATTAAGAAAATACTTAAGGAAGGAGAAAAAATGGATAAAAAAGAGTACCTTTATAATTTGGTGAATTATCTGAAGATGGATATGAAGTAATAATAAGAAGAGAAGAGGCAATAAAGACAAAAGCCCTAATGAAAAGACGCAAAATTGGAATCTCCGGCAACAGAGAGGGCTGGAATTATGTGTTTATACTTTGGAATATTAGGAAGGAAAGACAGAATGAGAATGAGACTCTCTCTCTCTCTCTCTCTCGGTTCACTTGACATAGAGATGGGGAATTTATAATTTGTTGCCAAGTTTTTGTTTTCTTCAAAATAATGTTTTTTAAAAAATAAATTTGTATTTTAAAAAATATATATTTTGAAATAATAAATTGATGAAAAATGTGTAATTAAAATTGAGGAAAAAAATTCAAATTTATGTGTAATATTATTTTATTGAAAAATGTGATTGAAATGATGTCAAATCACAATTTATGAATATATTTTTTCAAAATAATGAGGATCAAACAGGTCTTAATTTATATTTATTTGAAACACAATAAAGTTTTAGATTATTATAATATCTAATTTTTAATTAAAGTTGAATCTTCATAGTGATTGAGCCAACTTCATTCCAATTTCAAATTTCAAGCACTTTTTTTCTACCATGTATTTATTTGTGTAGTTGCTTTTTCCACGATTGTTACTCTTTTTCTTTTTCTAATTATAATGGAGAGTGTTATAAAGTCATGGATACGAATGATTTTAAAAGTATATCTTGTCACTTGTCACAAATATTTCCATGTCAAAAGTAATAATGGGATAGTGAAAATTGAAGAATTGATTCTTGACTAAAGGTATTCACGTAGTTAATTTCAAATGACTATTGTTATACCGAATAATGGTGTAACACCCCAATATCTATTTAGTTGACTATATGAAAATTTTAAGGAGCTAGTCCGAAAAAGGTTGTCACTTCAGGTTGAAAAACTAGGTCGAGATAAAATTATGTAGTTCAGTCAACTATTTATCACATTAATTGTGACAGTAACGAGTTAAGACGCTGATATATATGTTAATTATTTTGAATATCTTATTCAATCAATTGGATCAAACCCGAAGTATTTTCTAAATTTCTCGAGACGGCAAAAGGTAAGCATTACTACATTCCCCGTTGGCCGGTTAATTGACACACGAGGTATTCACGTAGTTAATTTCAAATGACTATTGTTATACCGAATAATGGTGTAACACCCCAATATCTATTTAGTTGACTATATAAAAATTTTAAGGAGTTAGTCCGAAAAAGGTTGTCACTTCAGGTTGAAAAATTAGTGTCGAGATAAAATTATGTAGCTCAGTCAACTATTTATCACATTAGTTGTGACGGTAACAAGTTAAGACGCTGATATATATAGATGTTAATTATTTTGATCCATATAAAGTTTTTTGAACATCTTATTCAATCAATTGGACCAAACCCGAAGTATTTTCTAAATTTCTCGAGACGGCAAAAGGTAAGCATTACTACATTCCCCGTTGGCCGGTTAATTGACACACGCTTTCTTATACGGATTCTTGTCTGAATTCGTCATTTCTATAGGGCAAAGAAAACACAATACTTTAAGCATCAATTTATTAGAAAATTTTCATTTCTAGACAGCTATTAAGAATAGCTACGTGTGGACTAATTGTATATTTCGAAAATAAATAAAGATTGGTATTGCTTGGAAAATTGACCAATACATTCTTTTAAGAAAAAGTCAACAAAATGTCTAGACGGCTCGGAGAAAACGTCATGCCTTGAATCTATGCGAAAAATTATACGATCAGCTCTACTTTGATTGCCTAAACTCGTGCCTTATTTAACAATCGGTATTTTCTTGTTTAGAAGTTCAGCTCAACAATTGCTAAAACTTAAAATCTCGTCATAAAGTCCATAATCAACCTAAGAACATGACTTTCATTGAAGTATTTATGCTTTTGTTAGAACTCGAAAAATATGTATGAAGTTTTTATAAAATTTCAAGATATGCGTGTTATCATTTTTATTGGTCTATAATAATAAAATAATTTTAAAAATAGAAAAAACACCTTTTTTTGCCTAGACATGTTTAAATTTGTAAGGCTTGGGACTCGACTTTCAAACTTTGTCAACCTCTATTTAAAAGGAAATTGTTGCAAAATCACATCGAGCCTATATAAACCCTAGAAATGTATTTCGTGAATTACAGATTTAAATGATAATTCAAATCTAAAAACAAAAATTCAATAATATCTAGCAATAAATTTATAATAAAAAATCAATTACTAAATATAGATTTACAGTTTGAAATAAAATAAAATAAAACAAATGAATTGTCAAATATCATAATTTAGTGATTCTTGATACAATTAAAATTAATTTTACATTTTGTAACGGAAAATTTTTAAATCATATGATATGAATTTCTTATTAATAACATTTTGGATCATTCATGTTTATGTTTGACCTGAATCAGTTATGCCGCCTTCCACGTTCTTCATAATCTATAATTGGACCTACAATTTATTTATGGACAATACCACTTATATACTTTTGGTGTATATAATAAATGACACCCCCCACATGAAGGGGTCGCACATAATAAATTACAATTATTTTTCCCCGC